GCTGGTCTCAACCTAACTCCTGGGCTCAAGGTTTTCTGCCTTGACCTCCCAAAGTGCTGGGATTATAGGTGTGAGCTACCATGCCCTGCCAAAAAACATTTGTTGAGTGCCTACTATGTCCCAGGCCTTGGGGGCAGAGAGATGAATAGAGGCCATCTTTGCCCTCAGTGTCTTCAAAGTCCAGAGGGAGAGTCAGACTCATAAGCAGATGATGGTAATATGGCAAGTGAGATGCAAAGATGGGCCATGGCTGACACAAAGATTAACAAGGCGTGTGATGGGAAGAAGAGGGAACCCTAAAATGACTCTCAGCTTCCTGGTTGGTGCAAATGGGTGGATGCTAGAGCAGTTCACTGACACGTGAGACAAGAAAAATGGAAGGAGGAGCTAGGTGTCGGGGAAGATGCTGTGTTCTGGCTGGAGTATGATGAATCTGAGAAACTATTAGAACATCTCAGTAGATTTAAAAAAAAAACAAATTAGAAAAAGAAAATAATTAATTAATTAATTTAAAAAAAGAACATCTTGGTAGAAATCTCCAACAAATCTTTAGCTCAGGGGAGAGAGAAGTCTGAACTAGAATTAGAGTTGAGAATCATCAGCATATGGGATCTGGAATCACGCATGTTTACGAGGTGCTTACTGCTTCAAGTAACAATGATTACACTGTAATGGCATTTGTTAGCGCACATCTTACGTAGTCAAGAGATGGGCAGTTCTGGAGTTGGATAAATTGGCAACACAATGATGGCATCTCTAACCCAGGTGCCTTCTATGGTTCCTCTATGCCACCTCAGGGTGATGTGGTCATCCTCAGCCTTGTCCCTTTGTGGTTGCAAGATAGCTGCTCTACCCTCTCACAACCCGATTCAAAGGTAAGGATGAAGCTTTCTTCTTACACATTAACTCTTATCATGGAGGAAATCCTTTATCTTTAGCCAACAGACATGTCCTTGGGTTTCATTGGCCATAACGGCATCTTTAGGCCAAAGAGAATGGGATTATACGATAGGCTTAAACCTTGTGTGACTCATCTCCGGTGGCAGTGGAGAGGTTCATCTTCCTGGCGCACGCTGCTACCCAATGCCGGAACTAAACTGAGGTCCTACGAGCAAGGAAGAAGAGGTGGCCTCTTTTCAGTCTTCATCCTCTTCCAAACCTTGGCTGACCTGACAGTGTTGACTTGACCCGCACACAGTTCAGCAGGGTCTACATGAGGAGCTTGGGTTCCTGAGTCAAGCATATCTGGGTTCATGACCTAGAGCCACCTTGAGCTAGCTGTGTGAATTTATACGAGTTATTTTACCTGAGTGCCTGAGTTTCCTCACTTGTGGAATGGGGATATTACGGGTCTTTTGTTATTGGCTGCTGAGATCCTGAAATGAAATAATGCATACAAAGCATTTAGCACAATGTATAGCACATAGAAGTGCTCAGCAACATTTTGGGTGGACACCTATCTCCTTGAAATCCTCTAGCCCTTTGTTTTTAAGGCCTCCTCCCTTTTCTGTAACTCATTCCTCTTCTCCTCCCGTTTCCTCTCTTCCAAGTTTGCTTCTCTGTCCTATGTCTTGTCTCATGGCTCCCGTCATTCCTCTTTCCTGAAATTCTTCCTGCTCCTCCTGAGTACTCCATGGCTGCCCAGGCTCATCTTGGGGCCTGACGATACTGCCCCAGCACCTTGGACTGAATGACCCCACAGCCCTTGCATGAAATGCTATCTTTTTTTTTTTTTTTTTTTTTTTGAGACGGAGTTTCGCTCTTGTTACCTAGGCTGGAGTGCAATGGCTCAATCTCGGCTCACCGCAACCTCCACCTCCTGGGTTCAGGCAATTCTCCTGCCTCAGCCTCCTGAGTAGCTGGGATTACAGGCACACGCCACCATGCCCAGCTAATTTTTTGTATTTTTAGTAGAGACGGGGTTTCACCATGTTGACCAGGATGGTCTCGATCTCTTGACCTCGTGATCCACCCGCCGCGGCCTCCCAAAGTGCTGGGATTACAGGCTTGAGCCACCGGTGTCCTGCGAGATGCTATCTTAAAAACAGCCACTGGAGGCTGGGCGTGGTGGCTCACACCTGTAATCCCAGCACTTTGGGAGGCCAAGGCAGGCAGATTGCCTGAGGTCAGGCGTTTGAGACCAGCCTGGCTAACATGGTGAAAACCTGTCTCTATTAAAAATATAAGAATTAGCCAGGCATGGTGACACAAGCCTGTAGTCCCACCTACTCAGGAGGCTGAGGCAGGAGACTTGTTTCAACCTGGGAGGTGGAGGTTGCAGTGAGCCGAGATCATGCCACTGCATTCCAGTCTGGGCAACAGAGTGAAACTTTGTCTTGAAAAAAACAAAAAACAGCCACTGGAACTGCTCTACCTTGGCAGGTAGCTCAGTCAGTAGAGCATGAGACTCTTTTTTTTTTTTTTTTTTTTTCAAGACGGAGTTTCGCTCGTTACCCAGGCTGGAGTGCAATGGCGCGATCTCGGCTCACCGCAACCTCCGCCTCCTGGGCTCAGGCAATTCTCCTGCCTCAGCCTCCTGAGTAGCTGGGATTACAGGCACGCGCCACCACGCCCAGCTAGTTTTTTGTATTTTTAGTAGAGACGGGGTTTCACCATGTTGACCAGGATGGTCTCAATCTCTCGACCTCGTGATCCACCTGCCTCGGCCTCCCAAAGTGCTGGGATTACAGGCTTGAGCCACCGCGCCCGGCCGAGCATGAGACTCTTAATCGCAGGGTTGTGGGTTCGAGCCCCACGTTGGGCACCAGATGTTGGTTATCAGCCCAACCCTGTACGAGGGTGTCCTGTGTCCTGGTAGTGACGAGGGAGTGAGAAAAGAAATACAAGAGAGCTAAGAGTACAAGTTCACAGCCTGGGTCCAGGGGTCCAATGCACTCTCGCATGGGGTGATCCACGTTGGTGTTGAGCTCTGGGCTCCCCACACTTTTTATTGGATGTATTATCTTGTTGATCTTGCGGGCTGTGGGGAGGAGAGTTGAGAATGAAGATGGCCGGGGGAAGACCATGTGTTTGCGGCATTCAATAGCAAATGTGGTTCTTTTAAGAAATGCTAACTAAGGACACTGAGTTTTTACTATTGTCTATCCAGGTACATCTGCAAAAGAAGCATAGCGGATAAGGCGCCCTAAGGTCAGACCACACACAGTGCGTCAAGGGGTTTTTATCTCCCGAGCATTGCAAACACAGAGCAATCAAAATTACTCCATATTTTGAGAACCTAGGCAGAGCCTGTGGCATTCTGGTGATACTTGCCCTGGAAGGCCTTCCTGCCACGCAAGCTCCCATCTGCAAAGACCCTCCCGAGGCTTGTGAGCAAAGGTCACATTCCTTCCCAGAGTTCTTGCACAAGACTTCTTTACGAGACCCTCACACAGACTCTGCGGTTGGGAAGAGATGTGGGATCGAACCAGCTTTCCTGCTCTGCAACCACACTGCAGCATTCCGCAGTTTAAAGCGCTCTCAGATGGTCTTCACTATAGGCCACCTGTTACCACTTGATCTCTGCTTTTATTTTACTGCACCATAGTTTGGAGTTTTCTTAATTCAGTATTTGATCCGTGGCACAAATCTCAGTGTATAAAAAGCAAAGCAAGCTTGTAATCATTTAAGTAACACAGGTCTGCCCCTGGCCATCTTTTCCTACAGGCAAACATGGAAGATATCCTAAAAACACAGAGAAAAGTTAAAATGTGTGCAGAAAGCTGAAGAAAGCCTCTGGATAACTTTTTTTTTTTTTTTTTGAGATAAAGTCTTGCTCTGTCGCCCAGGCTGAAGTGCAGTGGGGTGATCTCAGCTCACTGCAACCTCCGCCTCCCCAGTTCAGGCAATTCTTCTACCTCAGCCTCCCAAGTAGCTGGGATTACTGGCATGTGCCACCATGCCTGGCTAATTTTTATATTTTTTTGGTAGAGATGGGGTTTTACCATGTTGGCTAGTCTCGAACTCCTGACCTCAGGTGATCCACCCGCCTCAGCCTCCCAAAGTGCTAGGATTACAAGGGTGAGCCACGGTGCCCAGCCCCCTCTGGCTAACTTCTAAGTGTCCAGGCAGGGCTTTGTGGCACTGTATGAGGGTTTTCCTTTCTATCTCCCTTCCTGGGGTATGAGTTTCTCAGGGCAGGAAAACCGATCACTCATCCATCTGTCACCCTATAATGCATATTAGTTGCCTGATACACACTAGTACTCAGAAAAATGTCTGATGAATGGATAATGCTCCTGGCTTTGCTACTTACTTTTTTTTTTTTTTTTTTTTTTTTTTTTTGTCTTTTTTTGAGACAGAGTCTCGCTCTTATCACCCAGGCTGGAGTACAGTGGCGCAGGTGTGAGCCACCATGCCCGGCTGCCACTTACTTTCTAACTGACTTTGAATATAATCCTTTTCTTCTCTAGTCCCATTTCAAAATCTGTAAGACAAGGGGCCTGGACTGTGTTTCAAGGCAGCCCTTTCAGCACTAAGTGAAATAAGTGGCTGAGGGATGCGGGATGCGCTGGCTCGGGGAGGTCGCTACCGTCTCCAGCAAAATGCTGTGCTGAGGTCTGACGCAGAGGGATACAGAGAGAGGGGCTGCCTGACCCCTCCATCTAGGAGCTGCCCAGGACTCCAGAGGAGGGGATGGAACTGATTTAGGTCAATGAGGGGGCATTGGCTACTAACCCCTTGAATCCCAGTGGCTCACTTGCTGGATCCCATCCCTGACCCACTAGCCTGGTGCCGGGGGGAGACCAATTTCTGGAGGAAGCTCTAGGTACCTAGTCTTCCCCTACGCCTGCCTCTGAACAAGCTGTTCTTGTTTATGACCCCCGTCCCAGCAGAACAGTGATTGCTCATCCTTGCATGTGATTTGAGAGGGCCAGCCTTTCAGGCCTGGAGGAAACTCAAGCCCCACCAGCCGCTTGGCATCGGAATGCTCAGCTGGTCTGCTCCTGGGGCTCATGTGACCAAGACCCAGCTATAAATATCAGAGGGGCCTCAGACTAAGACAGAATTCGGGCACCAGGAGAAGGAAGCCAGCAGGATCCGACACAGTGTTTCCTGACAAAGGCAAGACCCCCTCACCAAGGTCTACTTAAAGCGAAGTCAGTAGAGGAGGCAGCTAGGTGCGGCTCTCACTCGGACTCACAGAATGGATTATAAGTCGAGCCTGATCCCGGATGGGAACCCCATGGAGAACTTGGAGAAGCAGCTGATCTGCCCTATCTGCCTCGAGATGTTTACCAAGCCAGTGGTCATCTTGCCGTGCCAGCATAACCTGTGCCGGAAGTGTGCCAACGACATCTTCCAGGTCAGTGCCGGGGGCAGCCTCATCTGGGGGCCCCAGGTGGCTGCTCAGCTTCCCTGTGATGAAACCCTTCTTCACGCTTAGCCTTCCAAGCGGAAGGGGCTCTTTCCCCTTGGAAGTGAACCCCTACAGAGGCCTCTGGACAGGGCTGAGAGGGGCTGGGAGGCAGCTCTGGCCGTCGCAGTCCTTCTCCATGACGCACGTTTCCCCTCCCCACCCTGCCCATAGCTCCTCCACCCCTACCCTGAGCACTGCTGTTGACTCTCCAATCAAGAGTCAAATGCCTCAAGCGATAAGCGGGGGAGGCAGGGGACAGGAGAGAGAAACCAGACCCTTGGAGCTGGAGCCAGCTCCTGGTGGCAAGAGGCCCAGAGCTTTGGGAGGAGGGCGTCAAGGAGGCAGTGGGCAGTAGAGGCTTCTTTCCTTTCGAGGCTGTTCCCTACAATATGGGAGCAGAAGGGGCTTTAACTCCCCAAGAAAGGAAGGGGGCAGGTGTCCTGGCTAGGAGGCCAGATGCGCGGTTCCCCAGGGGCACTTTACAAAATGTTCTTTCACAATTTTATCTTTAAAGTAGCAGCCCTAGGAGCTTGCTGTAATTGTAATGCCCATTTCATAAGTGGGCAAACTGAGGCTTAGAGAGATAAGGTTGCTTGCCCAAAATCACTCGGAGAATAAATGTGACTTTAACCCAGGTCTGCTGCCTCCCATTCCCGATAAATGCTTAGCTGCCTCTCAGGTGTTCCATGTGTGAGGACTGGTTCTCACCGCAGCCTGCTGAGCGCCAGGTCCTCAGGTTTGACCGGAGTGGCTGAGATAGGCAGAGGAAAGGGTAAGAGGAGATTAGAAAGAGGAAAGGCTTAGGAGGGAGCCCAGACCTCACCTTGACCTTTGCCACCTACAGGCATCAAATCCCTACTGGACCAGCCGGGGCAGCTCAGTGTCCATGTCTGGAGGCCGTTTCCGCTGCCCCACCTGCCGCCACGAGGTGATCATGGATCGTCACGGAGTGTACGGCCTGCAGAGGAACCTGCTGGTGGAGAACATCATCGACATCTACAAACAGGAGTGCTCCAGGTCGGTTCTCGTGCCTGCTGGGGGTCCATCCTCCTTCCCAGCCCAGCCATGCTGTGCCCAGCTCCCCCAAGCTCCTTCCCCCTCCTTCATCTGCTCAGGATCCAGACCCCTAGCTGGACTAGCTACACAAGCCAGTTCAGGGACAGGTTTGGAGACCCATACACCCCAGCCCAGCTCTCAGATCACTCAGTGGATGGGAAGGGACCCAGACATTAGGCTGCCCTTCCAGGAGAGACTGAGACAGATACTCGGGGAAACCTGAGATATGAGAGGGGGAGAAAGGCCCTGGAGCCAGCTAGTGGTTCTGGTCAGCAGAGAAAGCACCTAGTGAGAAACAGCCAGGTTGTCCATAAGGATAGCAATGACTACTCTCCTGTGTGCCAGGAGGAAGAGCCACAGGCACTGGGAATGCTTCATCTTAGCACCTCCCGATCATTCTGTGGATCAGGCATGACTTTATTATCCTCATTTCACAGATGAGGAAACTGAGGCTAAAAAGGTGAATTCAGTTAGCTAAGGTTTCCTAGCTAGGAAGTGAAAGAGCCAGGAGTTACCCAGTCAATCTAGCTCTGGGTCTCCCTGTAATAAAATAGCAGCTCATTCACAGGCAAACTGTGTGAGAGGTCGAGGTTGTACTGTGTTGGCCTCAAACTGGGGAGAGAGGGCCAGGCGTGGTGGCTCATGCCTCTAATCCCAACACTCTGGGAGGCCAAGGTGGGATGATGGTTTGAGGCCAGGAGTTCAAGACCAGTCAGGGCAACATAATGAGATCCTGTTTCTACAAAAATTAAAAACTAGCTGAGTGTGATGGGGCATGCCTGCAGTCCCAGCTACTAGGGAGAATTGTTGAGCCAGCGAGGTCAAGGCAGCAGAGCCATGATCATGCTACTGCACTCCGGCCTGGGTGACAGAGTGAGACTATGCCTTAAGCAAACAGATGAACAAACTGGGGAGAGACATAGCTACAGGGAAGACCTTTACAAATCAGGACATGCTGGTAAGACTCCAGGAGTGCTGACTTCACAGCCTTTATGGTCCGAAAACCTTCACCAAGCATCTGCCTGCAGGCAGTGCTCAGTCCAAGGGAAGGTGACAGACCAGGTCTCAGGTGAAAAAACCCTGGCCTAGGGAACTGTGCTTGCAAGTCAGCCTCTGTGACTAACATACTGTACGATCTTGGGTAAGCCTCTAGAGCTTCATTTCCTCTGTCTGCAAATAGAAACAGACAGTAAGATCTGTTACTGTGGCTGTCAAATAAGATATTAATGGAAAAATGTTAATATATCAACTATGTATTGGGTGCCTACTATGTGCAGGCACTGTACTAAGGACTTGCAGGCATTTTCCCCATCTATCTCTCATAGCAACCCTGGAAGGCATTCCCATCTCCATTTTACCATGAGGAAATGGGAGCTCAGAGACTATCAGAGATTTGTCCAAGGCCACACAGCTAGCAAGTGGTAGGGCTAAGAGAGAGAAGGTGTGAGAATATTCTTTTTGTTTGTTTGTTTTTGAGGCAGTCTTGCTTTGTCACCCAGGTTAGAGGGTGGTGGTGTGATCTTGGCTCACTGCAACCTCCACCTCCCATGTTCAGGAGATTCTCCTGTCTCAGTGTCCCAAGTAACTGGGACTACAGGTGCGTGGCCAACATGCCCAGCTAATTTTTGTATTTTTAGTAGAGACAAGGTTTCACCATGTTGGCCAGGATGGTCTCAAATTCCTCACCTCAGGTGATCCACCTGCCTCAGCCTCCCAAAGTGCTGGAATTACAGATGTGCATCACCACACCCAGCTAATTTTTGTATTTTTAGTAGAGACGGGGTTTCACCATGTTGGCCAGGCTGGTCTCGAACTTCTGACCTCAGGTGATCCACCCGCCTCAGCCTTCCAAAGTGCTGGGATTACAGGCGTCTTTTTCTTTTTCTTTAAATTTCCCCAATGCCACCCACTCGAATATTCTTAACTGCTGTGCTAGACTGCCTCTCACGTTGCTACGGCTCAACACTACAAAATGCAAACATATTGTTGATCATTACAAGAATAATAAACTCAATTCTGCACCAGCCTTAGCCTACCCAGTGCCAACCTATGAATGTTGAATGTGAACCTCTGAGGCCTTTCCGCATAGCGGAATGACAATGACAGCTGCTTGCTGCTGAGGGTCCGCTCTGTGCCAGGCACTCCACATTCGCTACAGACAACTCCTACCATGATTGCTGTAGTTCTGGGAGGAAACCCAGGGAAGAGAGGTGAAATCACTTGTCCAAAGTCACAAAAATGAATGTGGAAGAACAATCTGGATATGAACCCTGATGCCAAAGTCTGAACTTGGGAGGGTGGGGATCCGGGAGGGCTGTGGGAACAGGAACCAGACCCTCAGGCTCTTGCCTCACCTCTGCACTCCCTGCCATCCTTTCATCAGGGGATGGAGGCAGGTGGCAAAGGGAGACCCCTGCCAGCATAGGGACTCTGGGGTAAAAGATGCAAAAAGAAAAGACAAGCCTGGAAAGGGCTTCTTTAAGAACTTGAGAGGACAATAAAGCCCAGGGTGACATCAGTCACATAAGGCTGTTTGGAGGTGAGGCACTGACACTGTTGGGGACAGTCACCATTTGACATTTGCAAGGTGCCTGTTCTGTTAGGGGCTGGGAATCAGAGGTGCTGTTAGCTCTCAATGAGTGTATGGTCTAGCTGGGGATGGAAGACTCAAAGAATCGAATCTACACCAGGCGTGGTGGTATACACCAGTTGCAGCTACTGGGGAGGCTGAGGCAGAAGGATTGCTCAGCCTAGAAGTTCAAAGCTTCAGTGTGTCTGTGAATCGCTGCTGCACTCCAGCCTGGACAATATGGTGAGACCCTGTCTCAATAAAAAACAAAAGCAAAAACAAAAAAAGGCTGGGTGCAGTAGATTACGCCTGTAATCCCAGTACTTTGGGAGGCTGAGGTGGGAAAGTGCTAGGATTACAGGCATGAGCCACATGCCCGACCATGGAGAGTCTTAAGAAATTCAAGATGGTGAACTGATTCCTATGCTAGTTATTGATTCCTTCTCCTTCCTTCTCCTTCTCCTTCTCCTTCTCCTCCTCCTCCTCCTCCTCCTCCTCCTCCTCCTCCTCCTCCCCCTCCTCCTCCTCCTCCTCCTCCTCCTCCTCCTCCTCCTCCTCCTCCTCCTCCTCCTCCTTCTCCTTCTCCTTCTCCTTCTTTTTTTTTTTTTTTTTGAGACGGAGTTTCGCTCTTGTTACCCAGTCTGGAGTGCAATGGCGCGATCTCCGCTCACCACAACCTCCGCCCCCTGGGTTCAGGCAATTCTCCTGCCTCAGCCTCCTGAGTAGCTGGGATTACAGGCACACACCACCATGCCCAGCTAATTTTTTTGGTATTTTTAGTAGAGACAGGGTTTCACCATGTTGACCAGGATGGTCTCGATCTCTCGACCTCGTGATCCACCCGCCTCGGCCTCCCAAAGTGCTGGGATTACAGGCTTGAGCCACCGCGCCCGGCTTCTTCTTCTTTTTTGAGATGGAGTTTCACTCTTGTTGCCCAGGCTGGAATGCAATGGCACAATCTCGGTTCACTGCAACCTCTGCCTCCCCATATCAAATGATTCTCCTGCCTCAGCCTCCCAAGTAGCTGGGATTACAGGTGCATGCCACCACACTCGGCTAATTTTTGTATTTTTAGGAGAGACAGGGTTTCATCATATTTGTCAGGCTGGTCTAGAACTCCTGACCTCAGGTGGTCCACCCACCTTGGGCTCCCAAAATGCTGGGATTACAGGCGTGAGCCACCACACTCGGCCTTACTGATTTATTCTTTCTACCTTTGTTTAATTACCACCTCCTCTATGCAGGCACTGTACAGTGCAGGCTCAGGGGGTGAAGAAAACAGGCAAGTTTCCCTGCCTTGATGGAGGTTACAGTCTAGTGGATTAAATATAGAATTAAATGAGGCCATCAGTATAAATTTCTTAGCTCAGAGCCCAGCCTGCAGTAACCAAAGCTATGGTGACTATAATTAGAGCAACTGATCTCTAGCCTCCTCTGCCCTTACTTGCTCCATGACCTTGGACAAGTCAATTCACTTTTTCTGGAGCCCAATTTCCTCTTCTCTAAAATGTCTCCAGGTCTGACTCTCTGGAATTCTATGGCCCTTTCTGTGCCCTTTGCACTGGCAGAGTCTCAGGCTAACTCCATCTTAGGATGTGGGGACAGATTTGGTGTCATTGGCTTCCCAAGTCCTTGGTCCCCAGAGGATGAAAAGATTTTAGGGCAGCCAAACACTGAGAGCCCAGGGCATAAATCTGGCAATTCACAGACACACTGCAGCCTTGAACTCCTGGGCTAAGCTATCCTCCTGCCTCAGCCTCCCCAGTTGCTGCTCCCCACTGCTGCTGTGCAGTGGAGCTGGGGAGAAGACAGGGATGCAGGACCCCCATGACTTGAGACTGTTCTCCACTGTAGTCGGCCGCTGCAGAAGGGCAGTCACCCCATGTGCAAGGAGCACGAAGATGAGAAAATCAACATCTACTGTCTCACGTGTGAGGTGCCCACCTGCTCCATGTGCAAGGTGTTTGGGGTCCATAAGGCCTGCGAGGTGGCCCCACTGCAGAGTGTCTTCCAGGGACAAAAGGTACTGGCTCCAGCCATTTTTATCCCCAGCCTGGGCCTACTGGGCACGATCTGATGATTTAGGAGGCAGATTTGATCCCTGTAGATCTGCTGATCCGGCCTTTTAGGAATAGTCCCTCTGGAGGGACTTCCCAGGCCACAGGGACAGCAGCCCTGGCCTTCCTGGGGGAGGCAGCTGAGCTCATGGTTATACTTAGAGCCACTCAAGAGCACCTGGGTGTGGCCACAAGGGAGCGGTCAGATGCCCTGGCCAGGCCACCAGGGTCCTCTCGGGCCACGGCTTCTCCACCCCCCAGATACTCTTCCCATGCCTCTTACCTCTTCTCCTAGACTGCATCTTTCCCTGCAGCAGGAGGCAGCTTAACCCTCTTCCTGGACCCCTGGGCCTGTGGGGACCCCCTGCCCTGTCCGTGCAGTAAGCCACAGCCCCCCCTTGTCCATGCTCTCTTTTCCCCACTTCCCACTCTTCCCTTGGTCTCTCTATCCTAGAAGTCTCCAACTGTATTTCTTGTCTTTGTCCCTTCTTTCTTGGTAACAAGCCCCTCCTCTGCCAGTTCCTTGCTGTGTATTTTGGGCAGCTCACTTGCCTGCTCTTGGCCTCATCTGTAAAATAAGGGATGCAGTATCTTTCTAACAACCTCTGCTCTGGAGCTGAGCTGTACCTGAAAGAGGGGCCATATGCCTACTGGAGGCTCTTTCTAGCAGAGAGGGGAGGAAGGGAGCCATGTGGCTGCCTTGCCCCTGTGGGTAGGCCCTGAGGCTATTTGTATCTCTCCTCTTCTGACCCCCACACTTCCATCTAGACTGAGCTGAATAACTGTATCTCCATGTTGGTGGCGGGGAATGACCGCGTGCAGACCATCATCACTCAGCTGGAGGAGTCCTGTCGAGTGACCAAGGTGAGGGGACAGAATACCCCTGCCTGGGAGTTCCAGCACAGGCTGGTCTCTGGGGAAGGCTCACCCATGGGTTGTGGCTAAAGGTTGAGGCCTGGAGCCTGGGGCGGCCAAGCAGGGATGGCAGGGGAGAAACGAATCCATCATCCACTCTCTCAGCAAATGCTTCTTAAGCACAGCTGTGTGTCTGGCCCCACCCGAGATGGGGGGATGGAGGAATGAACGAGACAGAGGTGGTCCCTGACCTCAGGGAGTGTCCCACCAGTCATTCTCAGTATTTGTTCAACACAAATCACTTTCAGAGCACAGTTCTTCAGTGTGCTATAGACCAACACTTCCCAAACTTTAAAGTGCAAGAAAATCACCCTGAGATTCTGCTGAAATTCACGTTCTCATTGAGTCAGTTTGGAATGAGGCATCACAGTTGCATTTCCAGCCAGTTCCCAGGATTTGTCCAAGCTGCTGGGTCCATGGACCAGACTTTGAGTAGTGAGACTATTGAGGGCAGAAAGGAACTTTTCTATCCCTGAAAAAAGCTTCCATGATTTTCCATGTTCACTTGGGGTAGGACCTGGAGATGAGATGAAGGAAAGGGGTCATGATCATTGCTAGTGGGTGAAGAGTCAGGTGAAGGGTAGGAAGGAGGGGAACGAGAGGCTCCCAGTCTGATGAGATGCAATTGTCACACCCACTTTACAGGAAAGAACTACAATGTAACATCTGTGACCCAGAGAAGGGAGCTTCGGTTGAGAAGCGGGCTAGGAAAGGAGCTGTTTTTCCACCTCTCTTAGGAACAAATGATGCAGAGCTTCCCGAATCCAGTCTTGGTCCTAAAAGGGAGGGAAGAGTGTGACCTGGGACATACTGGAGGCCCAGGAAACTGAATGGAAGCAAATATGTTAATTTGCTGAAGGTCACACAGCTAGAAGGGAAACACAGCTAAAAGGCAACAGAAAGCCAGGCAGGGTGGCTGACACCTGTAATCCCAGCACTTTGGGAGGCCAAGGCAGGTGCAACGTGAGGTCAGGAGATTGAGACTGTCCTGGTGAACACAGTGAAACCCCGTCTCTACTAAAAATACAAAAAAAATTAGCTGGCTATGGTGGCATGCACCTGTCATTCCAGCTACTCGGGAGGCTGAGGCAGGAGAATCGCTTGAACCTGGGAGGCGGAGGTTTCAGTGAGCTGAGATTGTGCCACTGCCCTCAGCCTGGGTGACAGAGCAACACTCCACCTGAACAACAACAACAAAAAAGGCAGCAGAAAAAGAGAGGGCAGATCCCACATTGCTGACTGTTGCACTGGTCTGAGAGGTGATGCTCCAATGACCAGCTGAGGTTGGGGGACAAGGGGAGGGTGCAGGAACAAGGAAGAACATGTTATGTCATGTGACCCTAGAGCCTATTTTGGAAGAAGGGGCTAGCTGTTTTTCTTTTTTTTTTTTTTCTTTTTCTTTTTTTTTTTTTTTTGAGACGGAGTCTCGCTCTTGTTACCCAGGCTGGAGTGCAATGGCGCGATCTCGGCTCACCGCAACCTCCGCCTCCCGGGTTCAGGCAATTCTCCTGCCTCAGCCTCCTGCGTAGCTGGGATTACAGGCACGCGCCACCACGCCCAGCTAATTTTTTGTATTTTTAGTAGAGACGGGGTTTCACCGTGTTGACCAGGATGGCCTTGATCTCTTGACCTTGTGATCCACCCGCCTCAGCCTCCCAAAGTGCTGGGATTACAGGCTTGAGCCACCGCGCCCAGCCTGTTTTTCAAGGCATCAGCCTCCAAATATCACTGGTGAACTAAGTAGCTGTGAGGCTGGATGAGTGTTTTCTTCTCGTTAAGCCATTGTTTCGTCTTCTGCAATGTGGGGATGTATGTAATGAGATCTCTTCTGGCTTTCAAAATTGCTTGCTACTGTCCCAGGAAGGGAGTGTAGGGGGCAGGGAGTAAGGACTCTACAGAATGTGACTGCAAGACTTCTGTCTTCAGGAGAACAGTCACCAGGTAAAGGAAGAGCTGAGCCAGAAGTTTGACACACTGTATGCCATCCTGGATGAGAAGAAAAGTGAGTTGCTGCAGCGGATCACTCAGGAGCAGGAAGAAAAGCTCAGCTTCATTGAGGCCCTCATCCAGCAGTACCAGGAGCAGCTCGACAAGTCCACGAAGCTGGTGGAGACTGCCATCCAGTCCCTGGATGAGCCTGGGGGAGCCACCTTCCTCTTGGTGAGCAGGACTAGAAGGGTCTGGGTGGGGTCAGTTCAACTCTACAGCTCTAAGGTTCCAGTTAGGCTTCTCTACTGACAACCCATAGGCCCTTGGAAAAGTCATTTAGACCTCTGTGAGCCTCAGTTTTCTCATCTGTCAAATGGGCGTGTAACACCCCGTACCTTCCTCTTAACTGATTTTAGAATGATCAGAGGATGTTTATGGAATGACTTTGTAAGCTGCAAAATAGTATCCCATCTACAGACTGTTAATTGAGCCCCTACTGTAGGCCAGGCACTGAGTAGAAGACAAGGAGATAAACCAGACACAGCCCTGCCCTCAAAGAGCTTGCTGGGGAGGGCAGAAAAGTCTCAGTTATAAAACTTTGCAGTTCAGGCCGGGCGCGGTGGCTCACATCTGTGCACTTTGGGAGGCTGAGGTGGGTGGATCACCTGAGGTTCGGAGTTCAAGACCAGCCTGACCAATATGGTGAAACCCCGTCTTTAAAAAAAATAAAAATAAAAGTCTTCACAGTTCAGTTCAATAAACATTTTCTAAGCTTCTACTGTGGGCCAGGCTTTGTGCTAGACATTAGGTATGAAAAGGTGGTTAGCATTGGGGAGTTCAGAGTTTCAGAGTGTTTGGATTGATACCCCCAGAGTCTAAGCTTCGTGCCAAGGCAATGGGAGGGTCCTAGGGTGATGACCGAGACCTGTACAGACCATGGACAGAGAGAAAAGTTCCAAATTCTGCTCAGTTTGGGGTGGGGAGCAGGTCACAACTTGGCTAGGGAATGGCACCAAATGTCCAACTACAACACCCAGTCACTGGTTTTGCTGATTTCCTGGAGTTACCGCTTCTGTGGTCCTAACCCTTTGTTCTCTCTCCGCCTGCAGACTGCCAAGCAACTCATCAAAAGGTTAGTATCTCCCCAGAGGCTATGATCTAAGCCCCCAGTTCCCAGCAAGGCCTCTGTCCGGGAAGCCTTGTCCTGAGCTTTAGGTCTGCTGGAGGGTCTCACTCCAGGCTGACTTCCCTGACCTTCCGCATCCCTGACTTTTTGGACCACTCATTGTGCTTGAGATTTGAGAGGAAATACTCCATCCGTCCAGGAGAGCCTCTGGGTGGAAGGCCTGGGTGTGGGCAAGGCATGTGTCCTCTCCTCCCTGCACTGAGCCCCAGAGATCTCACCCAGCCTCTCTCTCTGTCTCCCCCACAGCATTGTGGAAGCTTCCAAGGGCTGCCAGCTGGGGAAGACAGAGCAGGGCTTTGAGAACATGGACTGCTTTACTTTGGATTTAGAGTACATAGCGGACGCCCTGAGAGCCATCGACTTTGGGACAGGTAAAGGAGGTGGTGGTGTCACTTGTCTATTTGTCTTCCTGATGCCTGGAAAGCAGCATCTCTTCCATTAAACCCCATGGAGAGGCAGATACACTAGTAAACATCCCCATATATCAATCAAATTCATATAGCCAACTTCTGGCTGGCTGTGGTGGCTCACGCCTATAATCCCAGCACTTTGGGAGGCCAAGGCAGGTGGATCACTTGAGGTCAGGAGTTTGAGACCAGCCTGGCCAACATGGTGAAACCTCGTCTCTACTAAAAATACAAAAATTAGCCAGACGTGGTGGCATGTACCTCTAATTCCAGCTATTTAGGAAACTGAGGCAGGAGAATCGCTTGAATCCAGGAGGTAGGGGTTGTGGTGAGCCAAGATCGTGCCACTGCACTCTAGCCTGGGCAACAGAGCCAGACTCCGTCTCAAAAAAAAAAAAATTCATATAGCCAACTTCTAGATGAGCCCAGAGTCTAGCACAGTGGCCTGGTGCAGAATTTCTGCTCCATAAATTACATATGGATCCATGGCAGGGAGGCCTCTTGGGGCAGCAGAAATAATGTGGCCTCTGGAATCAGACAGTCCTGAGTTTAAATCCCAGTTCTGCCATGTGTTTATTATCTGTGTGACCTTTGGCAGGCCCCCTTCTGCCTGAGTTTTATTTCCTAATTGTAAAAATCAGGTTAGAAACAAGCCCTCCAATAATGACCAACTCATGATGCCGTTGCAAAAAAAATCAGTCATCGATGCAGAAAAGTCCTGTAGAGTACCGGAGATGTACTAGCTATCACCTAAAGGTAATCTTAGCTTCAGCTTCTTAATGCTAAAACCTGTGATACTCAGGCACCTTAATTTATCAACATTACATCCTCATTTCTGTTTATAATTACTCTCCCAGAGAATGCCTATATTAATTTTAACAATGTGGGCCAGGCAGTGGCTCACGCCTGTAATCCCAGCACTTTGGGAGGCCGAGGTGGGTGGATCATCTGAGGTCTGGAGTTCGAGACCAGCTTGGCTAACCTGATGAAACCCCATCTCTACTAAAAATACAAAAAAAATTAGCCGGGTGTGGTGGCAAGCACCTGTAATCCCAGCTACTCAGGAGGCTGAGGCAGGAGAATTGCTTGAACCTGGGAGGTGGAGGTTGCAGAGAGCCAAGATGGTACCATTGGACTCCAGCTGGGTGACAAGAGGGAAACTCCATCTCGGAAAAAAAAAAAAATTAGTTGGGCATGGTGGTTCATGCCTGTAATCCCAGCTACTCAGGAGGTTAAGGCAGGAGAGTCACTTGAACCAGGGAGGCAGAGGTTGCAGTGAGCTGAGATCGCGCCACTGCACTCCAGCCTGGTGATAGAGTGAGACTCGGTCTCAAAAATAATAATAAAATAAAATAATTGTAACAATGCAACCATAACAATAATAAGTGTGAAAATAACAAGGGAAATGAAGAAACTGAATGGAAACAAATATGTTAATTTGCTGAGGGTCACACAGCTCAAGGGAAACACAGTTCAAAGGCAACAGAGAAAGAGAGGGCAGATCCCACATTGCTGACCATTGTGTTGGTCTGAGAGGTGGTGCTCCAATGACCAGCTGAGGTTGGGGGACAGGGGGAGGGTGTGGGAATAAGGAAGAAGTGTAAATGGGCTGGCGTAAGAAAGAGAAGAGCTTCTCAGCACCTCGTGCGTCACTCTCCTGCAAACCCTCGGTATCTGGTGCTAAGCCTGTTTTCAGAATCTCAGATATACCCCGTTCATAGGTAAGGACAAAATACATCCCAAAGCAGAGACACCAAGGGACTTGGGGACATCCACTGTAGATGAGCTACTCCACTGTCAGCTTCCCTAAGCTAAGATATTCAAGACTGGATCATATGGTATGAGCATAACATTGTGAAGTCCTGCACTGGCCTTCATAATCTCCCTGAGCCTCAGTTTCCCCACAAGTAAAATGAGGAGAGTACCAACAGTTACCAGTTACTGAATATTCTGTATTTCCCAGGCACTAAGCTCTTAACCTAAGTTTTATCATTTAACACACCTTTATGGGATAGGTTCTGTTATCATCTCTATTTCATAGCTGAGGGAACTTAAATCTCAGAGAGGGTAAGCCACTTGTTCAAGGCCACACAGCTGGGAAGTAACCCATGCAGATTCTACTGAGAGCCATTTGGCTTGCAAAACTCTAGTGAGGGTTTTATAAGACGGTGCAGATTTAACACTTAGCACACTACTTGGCACATAGTAAATAATCAGAAACTGCTGTTAGGAGTAGTCACTGTGATAATGATTAAACAACAAAACTCCCTGGGTTATGCTCTGATCCTAGTTACTTGGCTAGAAGTTTGGTTGTCATTTTGGAGATACTCTTTTTTTTTTTTTTTTTTTTTGAGACAGTGTTTCGTTCTTGTCACCCAGGCTGGAGTGCAATGGAGTGATCTCCGCTCACTGCAACCTCCGCCTCCAGGTTCAAGTGATTCTCCTGCCTCAGCCTCCCAAGTACCTGGGATTACAGGCACATGCCAAGATGCCCAGCTAATTTTTTGTATTTTTAGTAGAGACAGGGTTTCACCATGTTGGCCAGGCTGGTCTCAAACTCCTGACCTCAGGTGATCCACCCACCTCAGCCTCCCAAAGTGCTGGAATTACAGGCGTGAGCCACCAATCCCAGCCTGGAGATACTCTTGACGAATGTCCTGTCTCTATCGTGGCCCCTTCAGGGCCCCAAAAGATTAAGAAGGTCGCTCCGGGGAGAAGTGGAGAAGGGAGATGTTTGCTGTTGAAGCTTGCCAGTGACATCTCAGGATGAAAAAATGGGGACCTGAGTTGCAGCACGGTCACTGTCCCTCTGGTGCTCAGCTTCGGGGAGCAGAGGTGGCTCCAGAAGTACTCCCCCAGCCTGTCCACCGCTCTGCAGGCTAAGGAAGGAGGAAGACAGGACAGGGGGTGCTGAACAAGCAGATCTCATAGGCTGAGCAGCTTCCTCAGGACAAAGACTCTGACCCCTGAGAATGGAGGAGGCATTTTTCTCTGCCTACCTGAGAAATGCGCAGGAGCAGAAAGCGTGCCTCCTCAGAGTCCTCTCTCTGGTCACAGGCAGAGCAGGTGATAGAAGCTGCTGGTGCTGTGCAAAGAAATGTTTTGAGCCCGGCTCCCTGGGGCAGAGTGCAGGGACTGCAGGAGCAGGGCCTCTGTGCAGTGTGGGTCTGGCAAGCCCATAACTTCCCAGGCCACTGCTGTCTCTGTATGGCCATTTGACCTCGACTGGGCACGGGAAGGGGTTTAGAAAGTGCTCTCTCCTGCCGGGTTCCTCTTCAAGTAGCTCCTCAAGGAACCAGGCCCCTCCTAACACAAGTGTTCTTTGTCACAGATGAGGAAGAGGAGGAGTTTATTGAAGAAGATCAGGAAGAGGAAGAGTCCACAGAAGGGAAGGAAGAAGGTAAGAAATTCATCTACCTCCATGGCTTCATTCCTTCACTCATTCCACAACATGAGATGCCTACTACGTGCAAAGTGCTGTGTTAGACATTGGGAATGATACTGAGCCCTGTCCCCCGGCATGTGCTTTAAACCTATTGAAGGTAATGTCCTGTTTTCCTTACCCTTAGAGAGGAAAAAACCCCAAACTATTCATAGTAAAATGCTCCCATTTCACATCTAAATGATCTTCATAGATGGAAAGAAATACAGCACAGCAGAAGGAAAAGGCGGGGCTCATGAGGCAGGCTGGGCCCATTGAGGTGTTTTGTTTGGCGAGCACTGTGTTTAAGTTTAAAAAAAAATAGTACTTGCTGGCCAGGAACAGTGGCTCACGCCTATAATTCCAGTACTTTGGGAGGCCAAGGCCAGCCTGGCCAACATGGTAAAACCCCATTTCTACTAAAAATACAAAGAACTGAGGCCGGGCGCGGTGGCTCACACCTATAATCCCAGCACTTTGGGAGGCCGAGGCGGGTGGATCACGAGGTCAAGAGATCGAGACCATCCTGGTCAACATGGTGAAACCCCGTCTCTACTAAAAATATAAAAAAACTAGCTGGGCATGGTGGCGCGTGCCTGTAATCCCAGCTACTTGGGAGGCTGAGGCAGGAGAATTGCCTGAACCCAGGAGGCAGAGGTTGCGGTGAGGCGAGATTGCGCCATTGCACTCCAGCCTGGGTAACAAGAGCGAAACTCCATCTCAAAAAAAAAAAAAAAATACAAAAAATTATTCGGATTTGCTGGTGGGCACCTGTAGTAGCAGCTACTCAGGAGGCTGATGCAGGAAAATCCCTTGAACCCAGGAGGTGGAGGTTGCAACGATCTGAGATCATGCCACTGCACTCCAGCTTGGGTGACAGAGTGAGATTATGTCTCAATAAAAAAAATTACTTGGCCGGGCGCAGTGGCTCACGTCTGTAATCCAAGCACTTTGGGAGGCCGAGGCGGGTGGATCATGAGGTCAAGAGATCGAGACCATCCTGGTCAACATTGTGAAACCCCGTCTCTACTAAAAATACAAAAAATTAGCTGGGCATGGTGGTGTGTGCCTGTAATCCCAGCTACTCAGGAGGCTGAGACAGGAGAATTGCCTGAACCCAGGAGGCGGAGGTTGCGGTGAGCCGAGATCGCGCCATTGCACTCCAGCCTGGGTAACAAGAGTGAAACTCCGTCTCAAAAAAAAAAAAAAAAAAAAAAAAAAAAAATTGCTGGCTGGGTGAGGTGGCACATGCTTATAATCCCAGCACTTTGGGAGGCTAAGGCGGGAGGATCACTTGAGGCCAGGAGTTTGGGACCAGCCTGGTCAACACATCAAGACCTCATCTTTACAAAAAAATTTTTTTGGCTAACACCCTTTTCGGCATTAGCCCACCTGCACCCAGGTTAATATATAAAAAAAATTTAATTAGCCAGATGTGGTGGGTACATACTTGTAGTCCTAGCTACTTGCGAGGCTGAGGTTGGAGGATCACTTAAGCCCAGAAGATCGAGGCTACAGTGAGCCATGATTGTGCCACTGCCCTCCAGCCTGGGCAACAGAGGACACTACACTCTCTCTTTAAAAAAAAATTAATTGCTAACATATTTTAAATTAGGGTTTGTTTGTTTGTTTGCATGTTTGTTTGAGATGGAGTCTCACTCTGTCACCCAGGTTTGAGTGCAGTGGTATCATCTTGGCACACTGCAACCTCCACTGCCCAGGTTCAAGTAATTCTCCTGCCTCAGCCTCCCAAGTAGCTGGGATTACAGGTGTGTGACACTACGCCCAATTAATTTTTTGTATTTTTAGTAGAGACGGAGTTTCACCATGTTAGCCAGGATGGTCTCAATCTCCTGACCTCATGATCTGCCCGCCTTGGCCTCCCAAAGTGCTGAGATTACAGGTGTGAGCCACCACACCCAGTCTTTTTTTTTAAGAGTTAAGAAAAAGGAGATTTCTTTTTTTTTTTTGAGACGGAGTTTCGCTCTTATTACCCAGGCTGGAGTGCAATGGCGCGATCTCGGCTCACCGCAACCTCTGCCTCCTGGGTTCAGGCAATTCTCCTGCCTCAGCCTCCTCAGTAGCTGGGATTACACGCACGTGCCACCATGCCCAGCTAATTTTTTGTATTTTTAGTAGAGACGGGATTTCACCATGTTGACCAGGATGGTCTCGATCTCTTGACCTCGTGATCCACCCGCCTCGGCCTCCCAAAGTGCTGGGATTACAGGCTTGAGCCACCGCACCCGGCCGAAAAAGGAGATTTCAACTAAGAATCTGCATTTTCACCTACTTGTGAAAGTTTAGAAAAAGCAAACAATGCTGGACTCGAACTTCCCTGTAGTCCCAGGCTCTGGGCAGTGACTCTCCCCTTTAAAGGGTACATACCAGCCAGGTACGGTGGCTCACACTCGTAATCCTAGTACTTTGGGAGGCTGAGGCGGGTGGATCACCTGAGGTCAGGAGTTTGACACCAGCCTGGCCAACACGGGGAAATCCCATCTCTACTAAAAACACAAAAATTAGCCAGGCGTGTTGGTGGGCCTATAATCCCAGCTACTTGAGAGGCTGAGGCAGGAGAATCACTTGAACTCCACGGGGCGGAGGTTGCAGTGAGTCAAGTTCATGCCACTTCATTCCAGCCACTCCAGCCTGGGTGAAAGAGCAAAACTCCGTCTCAAACAAAGAAAAAAATGAGACATGCCCTTGCCAGTTTGCCCAACCCACCACTGTCAAGCCTGCTTACTTCACCCATTCATGTTATGTTATCTGCTGGCCCCATGTAGGCTTCTGAGTTCACCAGCCTGGCAGAGTTTGATTGAGGCTGGGTTCTGAAATCTTGGGCTAGTCATCTGTGCATGGGGGCATAACGGTACTGAAGTCAAAAGGTTACAGTGGGGAGTAAATAAGATCGACATTAAGCACGGTATCTGGTCCATAGGAAAGACATTTGCTAATTAGCACATTCTTGCAAAAGTTGTTTTTCAAACCATAGGTACTGCAACTAAATTCCAATCCAGTTGAACAATACAGGGTACTCTTTTGGAGTTTTGTACTGACGTACAATCCATATGTTTGGGCAGCTAAATTCTATTTTGGTTTTAAAAGGAAGCGACCAGGCAGAATGGGAGTTTGATGTTTTATTCAAACTCCTGTTTGAATAAACGGTAGTTTGGTAAGCCTTGGATCCTCTTGAGTCCCTGTCTCACCAAGTGCCTCTGTGTCTCTTTCTTTATTTCAGGACGCCAGTAAGGAGCTGGATGAGTGAGACGCCCCCCGAGATGCAGAGAGACTGGGGAGGGTGGGGAGGGGCCCAGTGGCCTTGGTGACAGGCCCAGGGTCTGGGCCCCTGGAGGGGCAATGGGGAGGTAATGTCTTCTCTCTGCTCAGAGAGGAGGGACTAGGGTAAGACCCTCACTGCTGCGTCCAGCAGCCCCTGAACCCGAATTAGAAATGTGCTTGAAACAATCACACGGGACACTTTTCTACACTGGTGCAAAATGGAATATTTTGTACATTTTTAAAATGTGATTTTTGTATATACTTGTATATGTATGTCAACTTGGTGCTTTTTGTAAAGGAACTTTTGTATAATGCCTGGTCGTTGGGTGACCTGCAATTGTCAGAAAGAGGGGAAGGAAGCCAGGTGGATATAGCTGCCCACTTCCTTTCCTGGGTGGGAGGACTGGGTAGCACCACAGGGACGACGTGCTATATTGCAGCGCCCATCCCAGACATATGGGGTGGTAACTGAGTTTGTGTTCTATGTTGTTTTAATAAATGGACAATGCTCTCTTCCTGTTATTCAAAGGAGCCAGGGTTTCATTCGGCCTTTTTTCTTGGAGATGAGGTTTGGCTGTAAATGAGCAGGAGCCCTGGTAGGAGGTGACAGCAGGGCTAGGCTTAGGTCCCACCAAAGGAGGTCTTTACACCACCATTTCCCAATATACACTCCATGGAAAGCCTGCCCTGAGCTGGTCCTCCAAGAACAGGTTCCATGTGTTGTTGCTCTGGTTCTCCAGAAAACAGAGCCTGAGGCAAAGTTTAAATGTTGTAGTTGCATTTATAGGGCCCCAGGGAAAACTTCCCCTGTGCCTACTGAAGGTTCACCAAAAATCATTAAGGCTGGGTGCGGTGGCTCACGCCTGTAATCCCAGCACTTGGGGAGGCCGAGGCAGGTGGATCACCTGAGGTCAGGAGTTCGAGATCAGCCTGACCAACATGGTGAAACCCTGTCTCTACTAAAAATACAAAGTAAACTGGGCATGATGGTGCATGCCTGTAATCTCAGCTACTTGGGAGGCTGATGCATGAGAATTGCTGGAACCCAGGAGGCGGAGGTTGCAGTGAGCCAAGATCACCCCACTGCACTCCAGCCTGGGCAGCAATATCGAAACTCCATCTCAGAAAGAAAAAAAAAGAGGCAGGTTAATAGGAGAAAAGGCACAAAAATACACACATTTATTTGACTGTGGTTTTATGAGACACAGGAGTCTTCAGAATGAAGACCCAAAGATACAGGAGAAACTGTCATTTTTAGGCTTAGGTTCAACAAAGTGTGGACAGCTGTGTAGAAACATGATTGGACAAAGGGGCCTGATCTAACGCTGATAGACAGAGTGGGAAGGCAGCAGGGCCTGCCTGTCGAGATTCTTCTCAGCTCCAAACCACAGCTTTTGTAAAAAAGGGGAAAAAAACAAAAAAGAAAAGAAAAAAGGTATATACGTGATTTTTCTGGACCTGTCTCCTTGCAGCATTCCTTCTTTCCTCATATGGGGCAGGACTCTCTCTGGGCGGGAGTTTTCTGACCTACAATCAGACAAAGGTCAAATGATTTCCTATAGCCAGTTTTACACAGAAAGGAAGGGGAAAATTAGAACAATTTGTATGTGTGTGTTTTTTTTTTTTTTTTTTTCTTCTGAGGTAGAGTCTCACTCTGTTGCTAGGCTGGAGTGCAGTGGTACAATCTCAGTTCACTGCAATCTCCATCCCCCTAGGTTCAAGCGATTCTCCTGCCTCAGCCTCCTGAGTAGCTGGGACTACAGGCACGCACCACTACGCCCTGTTAATTTTTGTATTTTTAGTAGAGATAGGTTTCACCATATTGGCCAGGATGGCCTTGATCTCTTGACCTTGTGATCCACCTGCCTGGGACTCCCAAAGCCTTGGGATTACAGGCGTGAGCCACCTCTCCAGCCTAGAGTAATATTTTTAGGTTTTATGGCAGGCTTTGGGGAAGAAGGATTGTAGTTTTTATGGCTAGCCTTGGGGAAAAATAAGGGGTCAGAGACAGGAGGGAAGGAGAAGGTCATAAAGGAACGTTTGTTTCTCGGGCCTTCCTTTCCAGGTATTGTTTTCGGAGACCCTACCAGGTACACTCCTGAGGTCAACAGAGGGAAGCGAAATGGAAGCGAAGCAGGCACAGAAGGGAGCAGGTACAACGTGTTGCATGGCTGAGCAGGCCACAGCTTCACCAAAGACTGGGCTGGTTGCTCAATCATGTGAGATGTTTCCAGCAGGTTGTAAAGAACAGAAAGTGATTCAAAGTCCTTTATCTGAGAGAAGAAAAGAAAGAAATGTGTCTGCTGGCTCCTTCCTGTCTCCCGCTTCCCACGCTGTTCATCCCACCTTGACTTCAGGTGGCGCCGCTGCAGGGGAGCAAGGTCACCTGCCACATAGGGTGGTATTGCAGTTGCGTCTAGAAGTGGTGGGGGGTGCCAGGGCCTCCATGGTCCAGTTGGGTTGAACAAGGGTTGGGGAGCTACTGCTGTCTCCACCTCAGTGAACACAATGGAGGCCAGGCTGGTGCCCAGACTTATTCCAGGAAAGGCCAAGTCAGCCACCAGCATTCGGGCATGAAGTCATGACTGTGGTCCAGTAGCATCCAGGACCTCCATGAGCCAGAATCCAGGGGCCTGGAGAGAGGCGAGGCTGAGCAAATCCAAGACAGTGCATTCACTGGGGCTGATAAGCCAAGGATTGTAACTCCTGAGGAACAATGCAGACCCTGTTTCCCACATTACACATTCAGATCACAGCAGCAAGTTAAGGGGTCTGAGTAGTCCCGCTGTAAAGAAAGCGAATTAACTTTAAACCATCAGGTTCATGGTTCTTGGAATGCTGCCTGACCCTACGCCTCTCATTTTGTGTGTGTGGACTGAAATTCCGAACCTATGCATACGACATCCTCCAGAACTAGAGTGATGTGGAACTCGCTTTAGGACAGTGCTCGAAAAGCCTCACAACCTCTGCCCATTTTCACTTCTGGGAGTTTTTCTAAGGCTAACTCAGTTCCTAACTTTGAATTTCAAGGAAGCAGATTTTGCTCTCATTCCCAGTCCTTTCTCAAGTTCTGAAGCATTTTGTTTTAATTTTTAAAACATGGTGTAATACACACATACACCCATGCAAGTGCATAAAACTACTCGTAGAGTTTAATAAACTATTGTAAAATGAAACCCTATGTTACTATCACTCAGGTCAAAAAAAAAAAAGCATTGCCAGCCCTCAGAAGCCCTCCATGTACCCCTCTAGCAGAAAGAGAAGTTGTCATTTTTTTTTTTTTTGACAAACACATACTTGTTTTTCTTTATGGTTAGATTTCCCAAAGAAAACTAAAGGAATTTGAGGCCAGAAGGAGGAATCTGAGGCCAGAAAGACAGGCTTTCATCGCCTTGAAATCACAAAAATCAGTATTATAATATGTGCGTGTTCTGTTACTTCTCCAGACTACTGATTTTGTAAGCAACCAGCATTTCAGCCCCACATCTTGTCACTTATTGGGGAGAAGAGAGAGCAGTCAAGACTTTAGGTACTCAGTTAAAGCTTAAATTCCAGGAAAATACCTGTTAATTGTGTAAGGTCGCCGTGCCATGGATGGCATAGTGACCCCCGTGAACTGCATGTACACCTCTGGAGGGCCTTCCAGAATTAGAAAACATGAAATGGCTGTAAGATCGCAGAAAGAGGAAGAAATGATCAATCCCTGTGGCACCTACTTAACTCTGAGACATTCTCTATTGTTTCTTATTCTGGCCTCAATTGACAAGGCCATTGGATTTTGTAACCGAGCTTGACCAACCTGGTGACTCCACATCCTACAACCCCCTCCCAGCCTGCAAACCTACGACCCCCTCCCAGCTTGCAAAATTCACCAACTGGCCGGGTGAGATGGCTCATACCTGTAATCCCAGCACTTTGGGAGGCTGAGGCAGGCAGATCACCTGAGGTCGGGAGTTCAAGTCTCCCTCTCGTTCAAAAACTCTGATGTCGGTCACAGACTCCGGAAGACAAGACTCTTTCCTCGGTGTCTGGTCAATTGCAGGGATGCACCCACGTTACAGCCCAGGAATCAGTCAGGGAGGCCTACTGAAAACGCTGGTAGCTGCTCACTCCTTCTCCTAGTCTCTACTCTACTCCCTTCCTTAAAACTTACCTATGGGCAACATTCAGCCCTCTGTTCCTCAATTCTCACCTCTAGCCTGAGTCCTATAAATCCTAAAACTTCTTCGACTGTCACCTGATCTGAAACCTAAATTTCTCTGTAACATAGCCTGGCCTCAATCCAAATGGCCAGAAGATGGCACTTGCAATTTTTCTATTCTGTGAGACTCAAACAATTTTTGTCAACAAATAGGCAAGTGGTCTAAGGTGCCAGAAGTCCAGGCATTTTTTTTTTTTTACACTCTAATCCCTCCCTAATCTCTGCTCCTTCTCTCCCTTCTGCCTCTCGTGCCTCCACCAGGAACCCAGAATCCTCCTTGACCATCAATCCTTCCACCTTTCTCCTCCCCGCCTGTCCAATCCAGGCCCACCCCCCACCCCCAGAGCCTTCCTCCCCTTTCTCGGCCCACAACCCACCTCCTGATGCCCCTCCTGTCACCTCCCCACCTCATACCTGGTCCTGCTTATAGTTTAGTCCTGCAGCTAACTCCTCTGCCCCTGCTCAACAATTCCCCTTTCCAGAGGTGGCTGGTGCTGAAGGCATAGTTAGGGTGCACGTCCCTTTCTCTTTATCTGACCTTTCCCAAATCGACCACTGGTTAGGCTCCTTTTCATCAGGTCCTCCAATACTTAACCCAGTCCTACAGTCTCACCTGGAGTGACTTAAATGTCATCCTTACTTCTACTCTCACCCCTGAAGAATGCTGAAGAATTTTATCACCCGATCAGCCCCTAACATTAAAAAAGCTACAGAAATTAAAATCTGGCCCTCAAACCCCACAAGAGGAATTAATCAACTTCACGTTTAAGGTGGTCAATAATAGGGAAGGGGCTGCCCGGCGGCAGCGCATCTCGGAACTACAGACACTTGCCTCTGCCGTAAGACAAACCCCAGCCACACCATCGGCTCACAGACTTCCAAGCGCCCAGACTGCAGTGTCCCGCCACCCCTCCTGAACCTTGCTTCAAAGTGTTGAAAACCTGGCCACTGGGCCAAGGAATGCCAGCAGACCAGGATTCTTTCTAAGCCCTGCCCTGTCTGTGTGGTCTCCCCACAGAAAGTCAGATCATCTGACTCACCTCGCTGCTCTCAGAGCTCCTGGAGCTCCAAACCAAAGCTCCCAGACTGAATTGGCTTGGTGGCTGAGTGGCTTGGTGGCTGAGGACACACTACCTGAGCATCTCGGAAGCTCCCTGGACCATCACGGATGCTGAGCTTCAGGTGACTCTTACAGTAGAGGTTAAGTCCCTCCCCTTTTTAATCAGCACAGGACCACCCCTCCATGCTACGTTCTTTTCAAGGACCTGTCTCCTTGGCCTCCATAACTGTTGGGGGAATTGACAGCAAGCCCTCCAGGCCTTTCAAG